GCTTGAACCTGGGAGGCGGAGGTTGCAGTGAGCCGAGATTGTGCCATTGCACTCCAGCCTGAGCAACAAGAGCAGAACTCTGTCTCAAGAAAAAAAGAACTGAATTTCTAATTTTATTTAATTGTAATTAGAAATTAAAATGAAAAAAACTGTGATTCAGTTATTGGAAACTTTTTAATGTATACTTGGAGCAACTTGAGTATATGCATGTTACTTGTCAATTATAAATTTTATGAATTCTAAATACAGATTATTTCTGGCAAATTTTAGTATCTAAATTGAGATATGGTATAAGCATAAAATACATATCAGATTTCAAGAATAGATTTGAAAAAGAAAAATATTTTGTTAATTTTTGTATTTGTTACATGTTGAAATAACATTTTTGCTGTACCAAGTTAAAAAATATAGATTCTTACCAATAATTTCATATGTTTTCTTTAAGTTTTTTGAGCATGGTTCATGCTGTATTTCCATTGGATATTGCTGGTCTATAGCTTCTGTCTAACCTGTGATTTGAAGTACTCTGGAGGGTGTTTACCACACCAAAGATTGGGCGTAGTCTTTTGTTCTGAAACCATTGAGGATTTGAGCTTTTATTCTGGAAATACTCATTGAAGAAATGTGTCAGCAAATTTATATTAGCCTTCCTTATAAAAGTCTGGAACAATCTAACTAAACAGTTTTTATTATTTGTCATGTCATTAATTGGTGTTTGAACAATCTTTTTGGTTTTCATGACCTGTATGATGCTTTTTTAGTTCAAGTATACAATACCTGAGTTTCTGAAAAATAAGGAAATAAAAAAGTCATTGTATTTAATGCAAAATATAAGATGTTATGAATTGTTTTTAGAAATCTTTCCATATAGCATTTTTGTTGCCATTTTGTCCATTTTTTTTTTTACTCACACGTCTGATATTTTTATTAAAATAATTTGGCAACTCTGAAAAGAACTCAATTTTGCTTCATTTTCCCCCCTTTCCAGAAGTCATGACTCTTCCTTTCTGTAGACTCCTTCTTTCCATTCAGAAACCTAGATATATAGTTTCAGCAGAATGGTAAATGAAAGCGAGTGTCTACCCATGCACCTAAAGTGTCAAGGGACCTGCTAACTGGAGGGGTCCAGTCCCAGCGGGCCCCATGCTGTGTGAGGTAATATATTTAGTTTCCAAGGATTAGAATGTGCACATTTTCGGGGAGAAGGCCATTATGCTGCCTACCACAATAATTAACAGTGGGAGGACATTCTGTATCTGTAAACTAAAGGCTCTTGTTAACCCCTCCTCCATCTAGTATGCTCTTTTTCTTAGAAAACAAGTTTTATTCAAGTTCAAATTTACAGCAGTAAGGATTTCTCTTCTTATTATGCGTAGCCAAGCAGAAAATTTGTGTATGTTTTTATAATAGAAGACAATGAAGAATTAACATATTCATTAAGATGGTTTTCATCTGGATAGCCAGGCAAATCTCATATTAAAGTCATGACAGAGCATTCTTCTAAATTTTCCATAATGAAGGGACAGGCATCATTTGCTCTGATTGTTGCTTTGCTATAACAAATCATTTTGGCTGTAATGACAAATTAACAGTGTTCTATGAGATAGTGCATCTTTCACTGGTTACAGTGCTTCTACTGAAAATAGATCAATTTCTTGTGAACCAGGGCTGAACTTGGTAGGTATCTAGAAACTGGATCTTGGAACTAATTATTAGAAAGTGCTAATGTTTGCTGACCTAAGATGAATAAACCTTCCAAGCCAAGTAGATTAATTTCTCTTTAAGGAAAGAGCTAATGAAGTTTAGAAACTCCCAAAGAGATCATGAGTAGACATTTGATTAAGCAAGCAAGTTAAAGCAAGAACTTGGCACATAACCATGAAAACAGTTCTTGACAAGTCTCTTCACATTTCATTGAGCAATTGCATTCCTCTAGCAACCAAGGGGATGACACATTAAATGTTCAAGAACTGAAATCATGCAGTCAACCATCAGAAATGCTCAAGCTGCCCTTCCAGTTAGTCAGAAGTAACTGGTTTTTCCCATCATCCTCCAAGCATTTGTATGGTTTTTTCTGTTTCATTCCCGAAGGACTATTTTAACAGGAAGAATTTGTTCCAAAATTGAGATGCAAGAAAGGGACATTTCTCTGATTTCGTAGCTCAAGTCAAATGCTGCTTACCAAGGTTAGCAGAAAGTCTAATAGTTGCCATTATTGTTATTATCATCATCATTATTGTTTTTTCCTCTTTTTTTTTTAGAGTAATGAAAATCAAGACAAATGGGGATGTGGCTTCTGGGCTGCCAAGATATATATTGCCTATCCCAAATTGGACCAGTAAATTGTTGGCAGTCATGTTGACAGTACTTGCCCTCTCTAGGAGTCCTGGTTGGGTGCAATACACTTCACAGATGCCCCCAAGGATGCAATGCTTTGTGTTTTAAACTGATTCCTATAGAGTCTCTTCTTGAAAGGTGCTTCCATGGGAGTGGAGTCCTCTATCCTGTTAGTCTTGAGAAATCCAACCCTGTCCATGGCCTAGCTTCTCTACCTGTGAAGGGGAAGGTGAAAATAACTTTTTCAACCTTTCCATTGGTATTTATTGAATGTTGTCTTACTTTAGGTTTCCTTACAAGCAGACTCAGAGACAAAAATTCAAGTGTAAGTGGTTTATTTTGGAGGTGATCCCACTAACAGGGAAGTGTAGAAATGAGACAGGAAGGAAAGGCAGACACAAGGAGGCCATTATCAAGTAAGTCACCACTGTGGGCAGCTGGAGCTCAAGCCCACTGGGGAACTCTGGGAAACAGTGTAGAACACCTAGAGTTAACCAGTGGAGGTGTGAGTGAGCTGGCTTACATCCACCAGCTCCTGGATTGAGTGCTGCCAGCAATTAATTTCCCAGACTGTCCAGTCTACTATGCCTGAGGCCAGACAGCTTCCTGCTACTTGGGAAAAAGGCTCTCTGGCAAAGAGATACAGATGCTTGCAGTAGGAAGTGGAATAGTCTCATGCTGCAGTGGTGAGGCCCAAGTGGCAGTAGTATAAAAAGTTTCTTATCCAGCCTATGGTTAAGGCACTGAAATAGATGCTGCAGAAAAGATTTATTTATCTCATTTAGTCCATTAGGGAGAAGCAGCTATGTTTTGCTGACTACATGCTCAGAATCATGCCAAATGATGTAGGGGAAACAGAAGAAATAGGAGGCATGGTCTCTTCCTGATTTGGAGGAACATATTCTCTAAGTAAGGAAGACAACCCTGGCTCTACCATTCACCAATGGGTAAATGGACAAAATAAAATGGTGATTTAGGCATTAGGAGACAATTGGAATTCTGGGAAAGGCTTCATGTGGAAAGTAGGAAATGAAGGATAGTGTTTTGAGAAAAGAGCCAAGCCTATGTAATTTGAGGGACAATGAGAGAGGAAGCCTGGAGCCAAATTTAGCCCAGCATGTTGGTAGACAGTGAGCAAGCCCATGAGAATGGAGAAGGAACATGTTCAAGAGGATGGGGAATCTTCACACTTGACTGAATAGGGCAAGGCCAACACTGAGAGGCTTGAAAGCTAAATACAATCTCAGCTTGTTACTGTCCTACAAATGTCAGTAATTGTCCTGAGTGTACATTTCCTCCTGAAAAAGTCCACTCATGCCTGCAGTACTGTCAAAGAAGTGAGTGTGTCATGGCAGATGACCCTGCTTCCACAGTTGAATCTGATTGGAATGAGGCAGGCACTTGACCTTGGATGGGCTCATCCGACTCTGCTTTTTTTTTTTTTTCTCTTTTCTTTTCATCTGGCATTTGGACCTACAGAATTAAGGGACTGGAAAAATTGGTTCTCTGCGGAGCCAGGGCAAGAATTTATTTTCCTAAGAAGCCACAGTCATGTGCAAACACATTACATTAGAGTAAAACATCATAGGCAATATGGGACTACAGCAAAAAAAAAAGACAACTGCAAGACAAGAAACAGAAGGGAGAGACCATGTGGCTCTAGCAAGTAAAGGTAACTTCCAAATTCCCCCAAGGCCATCAAGTACTTCTAGCAAGGTCGTCTTCTGTAAACTTTCCACTCAAGCTAATTTGAGTGGAAATCAAGCCTCCTTCTCTAAGACGACATGGCAGTCATTAATACCCTATTGCCTACTTTGTTTCCAGTGCTCTGTTTTTTTGTTTGTTTTGTTTTTGTCCTATGGGTTGATGTCATAGCTGTTGATCTCCATAAGCAAACCCTGAGAATTGTGTGCAAGTGGTTTACTAAGAAAGGCTTCTCAGAGACAGTAAAGCAATAGAAGTGAAGATGGTGGTGAATTCAGACCACGTCTCTGGAGCCTGCAGTGGGCGCTGCAGTGGAATCTTGCTTCATGCGTGCTTTTCTCCTTACCTGGGCAGGGGAGCTGGGGCAAGATTCCACTGCAGCGCCCCTTGCAGGCTCCACAGATGTGCTTATTGTTCTGGGGATGCAGAGGTAAATTAGACAAGATCCGTGCTCTCGTTTCATTTACAACCCAGTTGGGGGAGACAAGCTTGTAAACACAGGCAACTAGAAAAAAGGCTTCTGGGTGGAAGAGAATAAGAAACATTCCACCTAAAGGAGGTTCTCTGCCAAGGGTGAATGATTTAACATCTACGTGTCTCTCCCCCACCAAACATGTTAGACTCACTCAGCAACAAAAGCATGGCTCATTTCCTCCCAGGTACTATTTTCTTATCTCTTCCAGAAAACAGAACTTCCTGAAAAACAGCTATTTAAGGAATATGGTAAGAACCTGGCAGGAGCCCAGTTTATACTCAGTAGCTTTGACCTAAGAAAGAGAAGAGTAAATATCAAACCCAAGGTCAGTAAGACTTTTGTGTATTTTTTCTGTTTCCTTTAAAGGTATGTTTGCTCTTTTAAGAACCGGGAACTTATTGTTTATAGTATTTTTGGTGCAAGGGTCAGGCTGCCAGGAAAGCAGTGAGCATCTTTTTGTGATTCTTGGGGTTTTATCCAGTGTCTGTAACCTCGATCTAGTGCAGGAAGAGAGTGTGGTCCAGCATCTACCTGCCTATCAGGTGTCTTAAGGGCTCAAACTGATAGAACAGTAATAGCTTTTTCCTTATTATGGGAAATGATATGCAATATGATATCATTTCATTTTTAAATACATAACCAAGTGCCACCTGCTAGTAAGTTACTGTATTAGGAACTCACAATTAGTAAAATTTGGTAATTCTTACATTTGAAATAATAGCACAATACTGAAACTTATTGAGAATAGTAATTCAGGATTCTGTGAAAGTCAGTTTCCACTAAATATTTCACAGCACTGCAAAACTTGCATGGCTGCTGCACACAGGCAAGCAGTATGAATTCCCACAGGGCTTGGCCAAGACACTGTGTTATCAGTGCATCCCTAGTGTTATCTACAGTTTCCAATTGCAGCTATTCTTGCTGCTTAATCATCAGTCATTGTTGATTCCAAATCACCTTACTCTACATTCTTTTGTATTTGATTTTCCTTTGTAAAAAATGCCTTTTGAGTTTGTGTCTCCCCAAAAGTAGACTCTAAGAGAAGGATGTGAGCGCAAGTGATTTGTTCCAGGAGTGATCTCAGGAAACACCAGACAAGAGTGGGGAAATAAGACAGGAAAGGAAGAAAATTACTAAAGGAGTGTGCTAATGTGTAGAATTACTGCAGTGGGTAACTGGGGATCAGGCCCTTGAGAACTCTGGGGAGACTCTGCAGGACATTCCTCAATGTTGTCCTACCCAAGAGGGGAGGAGTTGGGATGTTTATCCAACATTTTCCATCTGATGTCTGTTGAGGGCTACTTTGAGAGGCATCAATTCGCAGATTCTTCCATTCTGCCCTGCGTGCTGAAGCATGCTCCTGCATCCAGAGAAAACCCTCAGGAGAGCACCAGTAGTTGGTGAGAGGCTGTCAGTGAGAAGAAGAATCAGAGGAGACTGTTAACAGGAATTGGGTGTGTATGGGAGCTCTGACAGCATCTGGTATAAATGTATACTTCCATAAACAGCAGTTAGGGCCCATAGTCTTCTAATCACTTGACTTTGAAACACACGTGTTGCATTTCAATGTGTTATGTAAGATCAAATTGCTAATCTAATTGCTAAGTATTCAGAGAAAGCTGTATCTTAAAATTGAAACCTGGATAATGGGAAGAAGCCAGCCATATGAACCGTGAGGGGAGAGTGGTCTTACAGCCTTAAAGTCTTTCTTGTTGCCCATTTGCTCTTTTATTTTATTTTATTTTTATTCTTTTAGATACAGTCTTGCTCTGTTATACTCACGCTGGAGTGCAGAGGCACGATCATAGCTCATACAGCCTCGAACTCCTGCATTTTGCTCATTTAAATTCTGAGCCTAGAACAAGGAAATTTAAATCCAAGACTGATTCTTGGCAATCACATTCTCATTCAAAATAAAATCGTTTTTAGCCATCTCCTTCAAAATAAACTTTCAAATTGTCCATTTGATATCATTATAATGTTCATGCTTCTCTTATCTAGTCAGTTTCTCTATGCCCATCATTAGTGAAATTTCCCCATCTCATTTCCCCAAACACTGCTTCGACAGTTCCTGTTTTCCATGTTAAGTTTCTCTAAGCCCCCTCAGAGCTGCATGGAAACTATAGTTCCTTAGATAAAAGAAAACCTTATTTAAGACTCCAAAATCTCAATCCCCTGTGGCAACGGCAGAGAGGACAATTTGGATACCTGAGCCTGGATTTGCTCAAATCTTTCTAGTTACAAACTGCCCCCATTCTGCCCAGCATCTCAGGCAAAAGGTAATTCCATATCTCTTAGACACAACTGTTGAAATATTTTAGACTCTTAATGTTCTCTGAGTAATTACATGGCATGGGGGAAAAAAAAGATGAGATTTTGAAGTGGGGGTCTTCCCTCCCAGGCCCTGAGTCACAGATTTTTTTCTTGCTATAGAATCACTGTCATAATTGTGAGTCATCCATTTCTTTTTGCCATTGCAGCACACTCCCAAGGGACATGTGGCTTCGCTCCTGAACAAGTTCAGTAAGCAGTGCTGGAGAGAATACTGAAAACCTTAAGAATACAGCTCAGATCTCACTTTTTTTTTAGATTTTTGGAATTCATTCAGGTAGAAACAGCATTTTTTGCCATCACATAATGGTGGTGTCCCCCTCTGCCATAGTCCTTGTCAATTCCATCTTGCAGTTTCTCTGGACATGTCTGACTTTTGAAAGAATCATTTTCTCCAACATGTATTTTGAATCATCTTCTCTGTACATAATTATCTTCTATCTCCTAGAAATTCTTCACCATGTTTGTTCCTCTAATAGAAGATTTTTTATATACTATTATGGATTATTTTAATAAATCCTTCTTTTTTTGCTAAGGCTTTACCATGAGAGTAGATACCTGTACTCAGTTTGTAAGTTGATAAAAATTTTTAATAGCCCACTATATATGGTTTATTTTTACATATCTAGCAATATAAAATTGGTTTTCAATAAAGATTGAATAAATAAAATGTTTAAATCATTGTTTTTTAAGAAGTTCCAACCTAGTGAAGTTGTAAGCAAACTTGAACGACGTGTGTTAAAATAATTCTGGGTATCAGGTTTTCTAACCTCGTATCTGAAATCTTATATCAACTTAGTTGAATTTGTTTATGCAGTCTTAGGTAGCAGGAAAAACAATTAACACATAAGCATGTCTTCACATAGCCCCAACAGAATAAAAAATGCCTTCAAAACTATAAACCAGTATTTTAATGTATGTATAATTCCTGCTTAATGCTTCTCATTTACTGATATTCCAGGATTTTTTTTTTAATACTTCCAATGACAGCAAACTCCTGATACCCCCATGAGGCAATTGAAAGTAGTTTTGGAAAGTACTAATTGTTGGGGGAAAATTAGCCAAATTATGTATTATGGACTATTTTAAGTGCAGTGCTAAAAAATGTAGATAGGTTTCTGCGTCAGTCACTGTAAGAAAACTGCAAATAAATCATGTTAGCAACAAAAATGGAAAGAGAAAACCATTAATATTGAGCCTCAATGTCCTCTACTATCTGTAAAGCCCTGATTCCCTATGCAACACATTTGTTTACCTAGCAAATGTGTATCCATTTGAGTACCTGTCTCACTGGAGGATTATAAATGACTACGGTTTAGTAAGTATGATGTTCAGAACAGATTTATTGTCTCTTCAACTTCTAGCCTCGATAAATTATCATGGGCCAAAGGAACACTTCCCAACTTCTTTTGCAAAAGGCATGTTGCCCAAAGAGAAGTTCTTGAGGTGATCACTCTGAGTCATCTGCTCTCCATATGTGACATAGCTTAGGTCCTTGTTCCTGGATTTCAGTTGTAGTGTCCGAATCCTAACCAGGTTTCTTACATTGATCCCTTTAGAATAGAATCCAAGATATATTATTTGCCTTGTTTTTAACCTCATAAGACTGAAAGGAGATTATCAAGGCAGGCCTTGAGATATTGTCTTATTAATAATTAGGAAAGCATGATCAACATCTAACATTAATTCCCAAGCTGCATGTAGATAGGAATAGTCTAAGCCTCCTTGACATCCTTAATATTTATTATATGGCTGCTGCCTTCATTTAGGCTCTCTCCATTTGTAATCTGGATGATGACCACTGTTTACCGTTCTCTTTAGCTTCAGCCTTGCCACGTCTTATCCATCCCCTTTTATAGCCAGAGTGCTCTTTCTTAAATGCATACCTGAATATGTCACTCTGCTGCTTAGCTGCTTTCTTGTCTTTTGCATAAAATTCAGTCTCCTTATTATGGAATACAAATCCCTCAGGCCAACTTCTCCCACCTCATCTTCTGTCACTATCTTCCTATCCTCCAGCCATATGGAATTACCTTTGATCCTGGACTGCATATGCTCTCTGGTGACTCTCTTTCTCTGTCTTTGTCTGCATCCATGAAGAACTAGTCTTACTGCACAGCCCCTAGGAAGCTTTTGATTTCCCAGAAACCTTCTTCTCTACCAGACTAGGTTTGTGTTCCATCACAGTGCCACTGCATCCTGAACTTATCTCAAATTCTAGCATTAATCACTCTGCATTATAATTGTTTCATAGCCTACATCCTCAGACCTGGAGATTTTGGAGAGGACAGGCTAAGTTTTATTTACATTGATAACATGAGGGTGTAACAGATTGTTGTTGCCTCATATTGCAAATGCATGATGTGTGTGGGTGCTCAAACTCAGAAGCGAACAAATATTTGGCACCCTGGAAAATGCAATGGCACTGCTAAAGACCATTCTGCAGAATACACCTTTTGAGTAAACACTAAAGTAGCTAAGTAATGGCTGCTTTTGGGGGAAGCACTAAAATATGAATAATGATTATCTCTGATGGTTTTTTCACTGGGTTATGTTTTTGTTTTAATGATTTTTCATATTTCCTTATAAGGATCTATATAGATTGCATTTATAATTACACATGAAGATTTAAAAACAGCATATATTATTTTGTGTTCTATTGCACCTTTATGGCAAATGTTTGCAGAATAAAAGGATGAGGGTAAAGTCCTCAAGTAGTTAACAGTGATATTTTTCTGGGGTTGGAATGATGAATGATTCTTTTCTTCCTTGTAATTTGTTGGGTTTTCTCTGATATGATTTTTTTATTCCTTTTACAAGAAAAATTCATTTTAGTATTAAAAATTAAATAGATAGCATGATAATTAATAATTTGAATAATCAAATAATCAAACCACCCTTGTCAAGGGACTACTGAATTTAATCGATTCTTACTTATTGTCAAGTCATTTAAACTGTCATTTTGAGAACACTTGGAAAACAACATAAATATTG